ATATAACTTATATATTAGGTGGTAAACTTAGTTCCTGCGGCTCACAGTTAGATGACGTTAGTTGTAGATGTAATTTATTTTGACATCTGAAACTGGCTGCATTTTAGAGGTTAGACATTTGTCAATAAAATTCAGTGCGAAGAGATTCATTTAAGCGAGCAGTGCTATTTTTTCTTTTGATTAAATATGGAACGTGATAAGTTGTTTTTTCGACATGTGCTGCTTCATTACTTTGACTTGAAAAAAACTGCAGCTGCAGCTCATAAATTGCTTTTCGAAGCTTATGGCAATTATGCTCCATCGGAAAGAACATGCCAAGTATGGTTTCAGCGATTTAAGAGTGGTGATTTTGATGTCAATGATAAAGAACGCTCAGGCCAACCGAAAAAGTTTGAAGACACCGATTTGCAGGCATTATTGGACGAAAACTCTACTCAAACGCTCCAAGAATTGTCTGCAGCATTAAATGTTACTCCGATGGCTGTTTCCAAACGTCTACATGCAATGGGAAAAATTCAAAAGGAGGGAAAATGGGTACCACACGAATTAACCGCAAATGCCATTGCGAATCGCTTAAACATCTCTATTTCTCTGCTCGCCAGGCAGAAAAAGAAGAGTTTTTTGTGGCGCATAGTGACTGGCGATGAAAAATGGATATACTTCGATAATCCTAAACGAAGAAAATCATGGGTAGACCCTGGCCAACCATCGACATCCACACCAAAGAGAAATATTCATGGCCACAAAGCAATGCTTTGCATTTGGTGGGATATGCACGGCGTCGTTTATTATGAGCTACTCAGACCGAACGAAAGTATCACGGGGGATCGATATCAATCACAATTAAACCGTCTGAATGAAGCATTGTTGGAAAAAAGGCCAGCAGTAGCCAGCAATCGACGTAAAGTCATGCTTTTGCACGACAACGCTCGACCACACGTTGCCAAAGCCGTCAAAGAAACACTGATGCAGCTCGAGTGGGAAGTTCTCCCGCACCCAGCGTATTCACCAGACTTAGCTCCTTCGGACTATTTCCGGTCGATGCAGCACGGCTTGGTGAATACATACTTCAGAAATTACGAGGATGTGCGAAAATGGATCGACGAATGGATTGCATCAAAAGACCAATCGTTCTATCGTCGCGGAATCTACGCGTTGCCCGAAAGATGGGAAAAATGTATAGCTAGCGAGGGAAAGTACTTCGATTAATGTATTTTTTGCTTTTGATGTTGAAATAAATGAGTTTTTTAAACAAAAAAACCGCAGGAACTAAGTTTACCACCTAATATATATATATATATATATGTATGACTTACATATGAATTTTATATAACTATGTCTCTATATAACCATGTATATATACATATTATATATATATATATATATATATATATATATATATATATATATATATATATATATATATA